GTACTTTCCCTCATTAACCCCTTATTCTCCTAATCCCTGGAAACCTTTGATCTGTTTTCTATCTTTACAGTTTTGCCTTTTCCAGAGTGTCTTATGAATGAAATTATTCAATATATAGACTTTTCAGTCTGCTTTTTTTTTCACTTCGCAAAATACATGTAAGATTTGGCCATATTGTGCAGACGAATAGTGTGTTCCTTTTTTCTTGCTTAATATTTTTCCATCATGTATACCACAGGTTTTTTTATCCATTCATCTATTGAAGGACATCTTGGTTGCTTCCAACTTTTGGTGGTTATGAATAAAGCTGCTATAAACATTCACATGTGGGTTTTGTGTATAGACATGTTTTCAGATCAGTTGGGTAAGTACCTAGGAGGATGACTGCTAGGTCATATAGTAAGTCTATGCTTAACATTATATAAAAATAGAAAATTGTCTTCCAAAGCACCTTTATCATTTTTGCATTCCTACTAGCAATGAAAGGCAGTACCCCTTGTTCCAAATCTTTGACAGCATTTGTATTGTCAGGTGTCTTTTTTAATTTTAAATATTCTAATGTTATGTCATGGCATCTCATTGCTTTGCAATTTGCCCTCCTTAATGACAAATGATGTTGAGCATCTTTTTATAGCAATGGCTTATTTGCCATACATGTATCTTCTTTGGTGAAGAGTTCTGTTTGGATATTTTGTACAGTTTTTAAATTCGGTTGTTTTCTTCTTCTTCTTCTTCTTTTTTTTTTAACACCTATAGCACCTGATATTCCCAGGTAGTCTCTCATTCAAGTACTAACCAGGCCCTACCCTGCTTAGCTTCTGAGATCAGATGAGATTGGGCACGTTCAGGGTGGCATGGCTATACACACCTCTTGTTGAGTTTTAAAAGTTCTTTATATCTTCTGGATATGTCTTTCATGGCATATGTGATTTACACATATTTCTCCCCATCTGTGCTTGTAATTTCATTCAGCTCAACAGTGTCTTTCACCAAATGAAAGGTTTTACTTTTGATAAATTGCAATTTATCAAACTTGTCTTTAATGGATTATGCTTTTGGTGTTGTATCAAAAACTCAGCACCAAATCCAGGGTCACACAGATTTCTCTCTTGTTTTATTATAGTTTTAGTTTTGCATTTTACATTTAAGTGTATGATCGATCCATTTGGAGCTAATATTTTTGGAAGAAGTGTAGTGTATGTTTATTGTCTTTTACATTTGCATGCCTGATTTGTCCAGCACCTTTTGTTGAATTGCTTTTCTGTCTTTGATAAAAATCAGTTGACTATTTTTGTATGGATCTATTTCTGAGCTCTTTATTTTGTTTCATTGATCTATATGTCTATACTTTCACCAATACATACTGTCTTGAAAACTATATCTTAGAGTAAATCTTGAAATAAGGTCATGTGAGTCTTTCTACTTTGTTTTCCTTTTTCAAGATTATTTTGGCTCCCTTGAATTTCCATATGAATTTTAGAATCATCATGTCAATTTCTGCAAAAGAGGCAGCAGCTGGAATTTTGATAGAGATTGTGTTGAATCTGTAGATCAATTTGGGGAGTATCGCTACCTTAACAATATCATCTTCAAATCCATCAACATGAGATGTTTTCACATTTATTTAGATTGTCTTTAATTTCTTTCAACAATACTTTGTTGTTTACAAAGTGCAATTTTTGTTAAATTTTTTCCTACATATAACTGATTCTGGTTATTTGCAGTAGTTATGTTATAAAGTTGCTGCCAACATTTAGAGAAGACAAAACTACTGCTTCTAAGGGAAATAGAAAGTTAAACTCTTGCGAGCCACTGGTCACATTTTTATCAGTCAAAATGCCATTTATGTTATATAGGTTTGTTTGCCAGCATCTATACAAAGCAAGCCAATCTCAGCAACTTCGAAAACCTGCTCTTTTGCATAGTCCTTTTCCTGTATAACACTTAGCAGATATTTTAAAATTCTTCCACAGCCTCCTGATCTGCAGAACCTGCCTCCTCTGCAGGTTTAACAAGTTGAGGCAGCTCTCTCCATAACTAGTCGTAACTTTGGGAAAATCACTCATAATCTCCACTCACAAACTCTGAAGAAAATAATACTGTGGGTAAGACTATCTCCACAGTTTCATCCATTCTAGAGTTCAAAATTAAAAATAATAATAATAATGATGATGTTTCTATAGTAATTTTTAAAGTCTGCAGCACCACCTGGTGGTCAAAGAGAAGAGGCTATACTGAGGGAAAGGGTTAATAGACATGTCCAGCTACATCTGTATTTTGTTTGAATAAAATTTCACATTATCAGGAAACTTTTCCTCTAAACCTGCTAACGCACAAGTATAATACTACATATAAAAGCAATCATATGTTTAAGTCACACTCTGCATAGAGTCCCTTATACATATAAAGACTAATCCTTGAATAGTCATCGTTAATCAGATACCAGGTTTTGGTTAAAAAAATAAACTATTGGACAATTAGAATGATTACACAAAATAAAAATATAGCTCATTATACTAAAAACCCAACATATTAAAATTCTTCATACATATTTGAGGAAGAAAATAAATAATAGTATTCATTTATAACGCCCAAAATAAATATCTATGAATCCATATTTATATAAACACATAGTTGAATGTATGAATGAATGAATGGATAAATGAATAAACATAAGTAAAAAGAGGAAAGGAGGCAGCTCTTCTTTACAAAATAATTTCAATCAATAAATGTAAAAGAAATGAGAGAACTAGAAAATCACCATTTGATCACCAATGTAATAATTGCTATAGAAAAGATCCACCTCTTTTCTATACTGAAAGGCAAAAGTTTGAGGAGAAACAGGATAATTTCATAGTCTCGAAATATTTCCCCCAAGATATCTGTAAATTATAAAGAGAAAGGTAGTAACTTTATAGTGGAAAAATCTAGCAGATATCACTTAGTAAAACAACCAAGGTTAACATCATCAGAAATAAGACATATTCACATCATGGACTCTTTGATATGACTTATATTTTTGTTAAGGCAAACTGGTATTGGAGAGAGAGAAAATTCTATACGTATTTTCTCTCTAATAATTTTAGAAACAGCTTCCTGCTCTTCTTTTTGCATTACTCTTTTAAAAGTCACTAAGCTTTGGGAAACTTAATAAATAGTAATTGTAAGACAATCAAAATGTATTTAACTTCCATAGTTATCCACTGGGAGTATGAGTCAATAAGGAAAAGAGGACAACTCTGAATGTCTTTTAGCATCTACAGTAAACTCAAATTTCAGTCAAATTAACAGAAATGTTGTTTGAAATTCATTATATTTATAGAGATAGAAAATATTTAAATTTCCTTTTGATGAAATGAAAACAATTCTTTTAGTATCTTGACCAAACTACCTTCAAACCAGTTTCCATAAAAATCAAAGCCAAGGGTGATATCAGATTAATGCCCAAAAGTATCAAAAAGCTACAAGAACAAGAAGAAAATAGGGAATACATTTTCTTCTCAAGTATCCATGAAACGTATACGAACACTGATAGGCCAAAGAGAAAAATATCAATTTCAAAATGTAAAAATATTATATTTTCTGATTACTATGCAATAAAGCTAGAAATAACTAAATCAGAAAAAAAAAAAAAGTCTCTTGTCCTGGAAATTAAAAAACTATCTTAAATAATGGCTTAAATCAAAGGGGGAAACACCAAAGTCAGATCTTATGAGATGGAATTAAAGCATAAGAGCAATTGTTCGCATCTATGTTATGGTATTATTGTGTAGATTGGAAAAAGCCTCTTTCAAGTAAAAAAAAAAAAGAAAAAAGGGAAAAAAAAGACCAACACTGCTGTATCTGTGGATAGTCATGAGGCAATGGCTCTGAGCCCAGCTGGCTGGAAGATGAGCATGAAGCTCAGGGAAATTTAAGTCAAAATGAGTTGGTAGCTGTAAAAGAAAAAGACGCAAATTTTTCCTAAGGGGGGAAAAAAAAACTACCAGAGTATGAATTTTCCCTTAAGATTGGAAGCAAACTTCTAGTTAGTAAAGTGCTTGCTAGCAAGATTTTGAAGGCCAAGAAAAAGTTTCACTTAAGGAATGTGTTCTTTGAACTTAATATTCTCAAGGTAATTTAATTTTCTACTGGATTTAGCTGTTTCAAATGCTTTAGATAAAGTATACCATTTTAACAAGTTCTTGTGCAAAGTAATGATTAAAGTTTTATCTCACCTGATATAAAAGACCTAGGAGCAAGCTTACTAAACCTATCTTAAAGGATGCCTGTATTTGAAGCCAAGCAAAGTCCTAATTTGTAATTGTGTTAAGGAACCATTCAGATATTTTCTTCTTACTGCAGTAGGATATTTTTGAATGGAGCAATTCCTGGCATTATTTCCCTAATATCAGAAAAAGATGTGGTACATTTGGGGTCTAATTTTGTAAGGATAATTTTCTTTTACAGTAGCATCTCTCCTCCAATGGAAGCAATAAAGTCTCTAGGTGCTGTGAAAGGATGGGGAACCTCACCAGCGAGGACTTCTCTCAGTTATGCACTTAGGTAGTAAGAAAAAATACTGCAGGTAAGGTTGGGTTGTGGGGTGGTGGGAATGAGGTAGGAAAGTCACTAAAAACAGTTAGAATGAGCTAAATAAAAACCTAGAAAAGTTAAAAGAGGGAAGATTGACGTACAGATCTTTCTGAGGTGAGGAGCAGCATTGGCTCAAAGTTGATTTTGATGCATGAGTCACTGGGTGGGGGATAAGAGGCTTCTATTGTGACACAAATGAAACAGAAGCTGGGGATAGGCCACAACGTGCAGTGACAGAATAAAGACCTGGTTGCTAGGATCACTGAATAAATATTCCAGAAGCCTGGAGGAGGAGAGATGGGGCTCTAGCTCCTGGTCCCCTTTCCTACCCTCCCTCCCCCCTAGGTTGTCTGAGATGTCACCTTCCACCTAACCATCGTCTGCACGGTTTCAAACCTTAACTCTTGTCTCTGACTTCTGCTTAGTTCCACACTCTCTACTCATTTGCTCAGAAGACCATCACCTTTCCTTCCTGCAATCTCTAAAGTTGTCCGCTTTCCTCTGATCACCAGCCTTACTAACTCAGCCAAGATGGAAATGCCCACTCTCTCTGAAATGCCTAAGCCTACTCCTGATCTCAATCAAGAGTCTTTGGACCCTAAGATTGTCATTGCCTTACTTGAAATTGGATCACCTCCCTCTGTCTCTTGGAATTCTCTCCCTTCCCTAAGTAACAGTTGTCACCAAGAAACTGAACAACAGACTGCAAAGAAGTTTGAAAATCTCTTAAAAGAAATTAAAGATATTCTTAAAAATATGACAAGTTATAAAGAAAAGATCACAGAAGCAAAAGAGTCTTTTGAGGAAACCAATATCTCCGAGGATGTGTCAGAACTTAGGAAAAAAAACAAAGGACTTGATAAAATAAATAAAGTGCTATTAAAAAACTTGCTTGGTTGTTTAGACCTAGACAACGAACAAAATGCAAAGAAACAAGAGATGATATTGGAAAACCAGAACTGGAAAGACACAGTACAAGGTTTTGCAAGGAATGTGGTAAATCATTCAGAAGCAAAAAGAGCTCTTATTGAAACTCAACTAAGTAAGGAAAAAGTAGAGTACAGATTCCCTTATGTTCAAGATGAAAATGTCAAACTTAGGAAAAACATGGAGCAGTTACTACAGGAAGCAGAACGCTGGAGTGTGCAACATACTGAGCTTAGTGGACTGATAAAATTGTATCATAGATCTCAGAAAGACATAAGAGTAACTCTTGAAAATCGTGAGCTCCATTTCCAAAGTCAACCGAATAACAAGGTGTCGGCTAATCATGAGCTGGAGGCACAGGTGAGGAAACTGAACCAAGACACGTATTCATTGCATTTGATTGCAGCTTTGCTGGAGAATGAATGCCAAATGTTACAGAAGAGAGTAGAACTTCTTAAGGATGCCCATCATCAAACAAATGGAACTTTGCAAGGGAAGCCAATTCAGATAAACTATGAACAGGACAAGAAAGAACAGAAGTTATCAGAAGCAGAGAAGGTAGAAAGGTATAAGCAGAAAATGCAAGAACTGGAAGGTACATTTCAGAAAAGAGACAAATTCTATAGAAACCTGGATGTTTGTCGTAATAAGAAAGCTCGTAATAACCGGTTCAATATTCGTATTGCAAGAAGAGCTCTTTTGGGGAAAAAGAGGCCAGCCAGCAGCTTCAGATAGCAGAAGAAAAGGCAATTTTTCAAAAAGCTATAATACATCCAACTGCAGGCATCATCAGTCATCAAACCTAAGGTAGATCTATTGTTTCAACCAAGAAAGAGCTATAGAACAAGGAGATTAACATATTTATTACCTCAATAGTTACATAAGTTTGTTCTTTAATGACCATTAGTGTCAACATCAAGTTCATAACTTGTCATTTGTACAATCTGCTTGTTTTTGTAGTTATTAGATGAAGATCGTATGACACTTTAACCAAAAGTACGAAGTTACAGGTCCAATTAAGTAAAAATCTAAATAAAAACCAGAACAAACAAAGAAAAATTTTCTTTCTCTTTATTTAATTATTACCACGGGTTGGGGAGTGAGATTCTGGGGAGGGGGGGAGAGGGGAGGGAGTGGAAGTATCTAACACTTTAATTGTGAATCTTTAAAGCTCATTTTCTAAATGCATGTTCCTTTTTCCTATTACTGCTTAAGTGTAGAAAGTAGTGTAGTAAAAAAAAAAAATGTCGATAAACTACTGCTACAGTTTTTTCTCATAAATCTCCCCATTCCCTGAATCTACTTTTCCTAATATTCCTCCCTTGCTCCTCAACTAGTGAAAGGTGGGCATACTAGGCAGCAGAGACCCTTGGGGAAGGACATTTTAGCTTGTTTATAATATATGTGTACCTAAATTTTATTGTGTGCTGGAAAAATTCCTCCCATTCCTCCAGGTGGGGGCAATAGAATTACTCAGGGAAGAAAGCAATATCTTCTGTTAAGAAAAATGGACTTCTGGTTCCAGAAAAGATAGAGTGGGTGCATTTCTCCCTATTCCTCCCATTAAGTAAGGTAAAAACACTGAACATGTGTATAAAATGAGCATTAGACTCTGAAAGACAGTGAGAAGAGACACTGGCCAGGGACCCTAGATTTAAGGAACAGCATGCTATTGAGTTCCTTGAGTTTTCTTTTTGTCTCTTTTATATCTCAGACTGAGTGCTTGGGGAGCCCACAACCCAGAAATGCCAATGCATTTAGACAAAATATCTCCCCCACCGCTACCACCCAAGCCTGCTTTCTCTCACTAAAAGATGAGAAAAGGGAGTCTGGCAAGACAAATCTTTTGGCAAAAACTGCCCTACTCTAGCTAAACTGAATAGAAAATGCCATGCCTCTTCCCTCACCTCTATCAGCAAAAACTGAGAAGAAAGCCTAGACTTTTACCAGTGACTGGTGGCAATGAAGAACTCTTTCACCTTTCTTCTGTGGTGGTAGAGGGGAAGCAGAGTGAGGACCCTGAAATTCTACCCCTACCTGATGGTAACTGGTGCTCCTTCCCTATCTCCTTCCCCCAGTGGAGTGGAATGTCAGTGGAAGCCACAAAGTTAGCCTAGATTTATTTCTACACCCTTCCCCTGCTGGCAGAACATCAGAAGAAGCCTGCTAAAACAGAAGATTTAAATAAGATCCAGGGTCTCATAACAAAATGCCCAAATGTCCAGGATACATAGAAAAATTATTCATGATACGAAGAACCGGAAAAAGCTCAGCTTGAATGAGAAAAGAAAATGGATGCCAACAATGGCATGATAAAGATGTTGGAATTATCTGAAAAGCGCTCATTATGAAAATGCTTCAATGAGCAATTACAAGCACACTTGAAAGAAATGAAAAAAAATAGAAAGTCTCAGCAAATAAATAAAAAATATAAAGAGGAAACAAATGGAAATTGTAGAATTGAAAAACAAAGGTAAAATAAACTCACTGAGTGTGCTCAATAGTAGAATGGTGATATCAGAGGAAAGAGTCTATGAACTTGAAGATAGAACAATAGAAATTTCCCATCCTGAGCAATAGAAAATAGGCTGAAAAAAATAGCTTCAAGAACCTGTGGAACAGTAAGAAAGTATCTAACACTGATTTTATTAGAATTCACACACACACACACACACACACACACACACACACACACACACACACACAGTATAATGTGGGATGAAAAAGAATTTCCTGAAATACTGGCTGAACTGTCTCCAAATTTAATGATAGGCATAAACCTACAGATTCAAGAAATTGAGTGAACTCCAAAACATACAAACTCAAAGAATTTCAAGGCACTCATAATCAAATTTCTTAATTCTTAAGACAAAGGAAAAATCTTGAAAGCAGTTAGAAAAGACTCATTAGATGTAGGGGGACAATGATCCAAATGACAGCAAATTTCTCATCGGAACCAATGGAGACCTGAAGGAAATGAACATTTTTCAAGAACTGAAAAAAATCTCAACCCAGAATTGTTTACCCAGTGAAAATATCCTTCAGGAATGAAGGTGAAATCAATACATTCTCAGATTAAAACAAACAAACAAACAGATAATTTGTCACTATGTATTTGTTGGGAGAGCCCCTTCGTTCACATAACTGATCCTCATTTATTTCACATTTGAGAAAATGAGTGATCTTTTTAGCCTTAGACTTTGTCCTACCACATTTCAAATAGAAATTTCACATAAGATGTACTAAATAATGAAATGAGAAACTACAGCATTGCTGAACCAAACTTCTTGCATTTTAGCCTGTTTATATGCATTACCTGAACAAATTTTGTCAGTGTCATTTAGCTGTCATATGTTAAAAGGCTCTCTCTCCATTTCTAAAACTGTGCACTAAAACTCCCCCGGTACCACAAAAAACTCACAAGGGAACTACAGGATTTTAAAATTTTTGAGAAAGCAAGGCAATGTGCAACATCTGTTGCACACAACACAAACTCCAGGCAGTCATAGTTTCAAGATGAATTAGACTGCATGTAGCACCATACCAAGAAGTGAAATTTCCATTGGTAAGAACTCAGTCACAAGGTCACATCGTTATGAAAGTAATTGAGAAATGAGGTTTTTAGCTGGGCAACCATGTTGCACAGGCAGAAGGAAAATTAATTTTGGAACACTGAAATGTAGAGAAAATATTTTTGTTTCTGCAGTTAGGGCTTTTTGAGCAAATTTTATGGAAACTTGAGATCCTGGACTAAAAACAAGCTCTAGAAGATAATTTACAATTGTATAGATAATGAGAACTCAAAAGACTTACCTAACTTTGGAGATGTGTATTTACATTTCAAGGTAGGGTGAGGCCTGGGACTTTAGAGATGTCTGTGGCTTTTAAAGCTGGTGACACTGGGCTTCTATGGCACCTGAAGAGATTTATTACAAAAAAGTTAGAATGAGAACCCAGGATCCTTTACATCTTGTCCTCAAGGAGCAGAGGGGTTTTTCTCTCTCCTTTTAGAAGACGAGAACAGCTGCTTTTCTTTTCTCCATAAATGTCTAGATTTATTTTCTCAGCATTCCTCACTTATAGTTCATTCCCTGTTGCATGTAGAGGGACAAAGAGTCCTCACAGCATCTCTTCAGAGGTAAGAATTGGAGTAAGGGGAACCAATACAATTATTATGTAGTAATAATAATCTGTCTCTAATCCAAAACCCAGCCAAGATGATCACAATCTCCACCACAGGTTTTATTATGAATGAAGCATAGGGCATGAGAAATATGTTGGAAGTACTGAAAATGCGATTTGAAATATTGTTCCCTATTCTGTAAAGCAATATTTCTTTCTCATGTTTGGAATAGGTATCATTTTATAAATAATCTAAGAGCCAAAAATTTCCGATTCCAGCCCTCAGTAAAAGAAGGTTTCCAGTGAAACAGTGTTGAGGGAACTAAAAGAATCACATGTCTTTCCATTTGAATTGTCCCTTTAATGAAAACTACCACCTACATTATTTTATTTTCCAACCATCTTGATTAATAAAACATTGTGCAGTTCATTTCTACACTTTGCCATTTATGTGGTTCATGTTACCATGAAAGAAATTGTTGCTAAAATAAATTGCAGCTTTTTAATTAAGCTTCAAATACAGCAAAGCAATCTCCGCTCTATCAGACCCTCCAGATCTGGTGTTGACTTTAACATTTTACACGTGTAATAAAATTGTTCTCCCACCATAAGATCATATATATTTTTTATTCAATTCCAAAACATGTAAATGAGAATTTTTTTAAAACAAGGCATTTTTTAAAAGGTGTTTCCTGTGGATTCCAGCAGATAATCATCTATTATATTTTAATTAATGTAAAATTTATTTAGAGAAGTATCATGGCATTTTAAATGTGGAAGGACCCTTAAGCCATCATTTGTTAACAATAAAAAGCCAAAGAGTGAAACAAGAATCAGCATTGACCTAGTCTGGAGTTCTTTAACATTATAATTTCTCATACTTAAGGGTCATATCCTGATAAAAGTCAAACTATGTTTTGGGGACTTTCAGATGTCCATTCTCATCATTAGTATATTTCTTTCCAACAGCAAGATAATTTTTAAGATATATATTTTTGGATAATACTCCTAGGAAGAAGAGACAATCCACACTAACTTCTCTGTCAAATACATTTTTCCCAATAAATTCTTTACAGTAATGAACTAGAGATTCTTGATTTCCAAGTATTTGTAAGTTTTATATCTATCTATCTAATCTATCATCTATCTATTTATCATATATCATCATCGTCTATACATATATATTTATTTTATACTACATATTTTATATATAGTTCTATTATATATATAATAAAGATAAAATAATGAAAGAAGCATTGCACAAAGAGAAAGGTGATTCTGGGTCCTAACTTATTGGGTCCAAATAAGGTGGAGACAGTAACATTTTTTTGGACCAAGGATTAGTGGTCAAAGATTCCCCAGCTCCCTCTCACTAAGGTCTTATTGCTCTCTGGGAAGTAGGAACAGACTAGATGAGAATTAGAAACTAATCAGAAGCAAGCATGGCCAAAAAGAAAGGGAAGATAGCAAATAATCTAGGCATATAAGATGTCCAGAAATAGGGACCTTGATATTTTGATGTTCTACCACAAGCCTAATTAATATAGAAAGTCATTTTAAAAATATTTCTTGACATTACTAAAGGCTTCATTGATTCATGATAGGAGTGTCAC